CAGGCCCGCCCTCTTGCCCAAGAGGGCCACGTGCGGCTGCCAGCAGTCAGGAGCCGGCAGTGGGGGAGGGGACACGCGCAGCGTCGGTGCCCCTGCCCCTGTCCTTACCAGGAAAAGGCCCCCGGCCCGCCTCTGGGGCTTCCCCTTCCGGGCACCCCGGCTCCTCCTGAGTATTTCTCAGGCGTGGGAAGGTGTCTCACGTCCCACTCACACACCGTTCCCCAGCTTGGGGAGGGAGCCGAGAACACGGGTGACATGGGCAGGGGTGAGGGTTGTGGTGCTGCCCCTGCCCCTCGGTCAAGGCCACTTCTCCTCTGCTGTCTGTCCCTTCACTCCGAGGCTCTGCTCCCACCAGGAGATCCTCGAGGAGGTGGTCCGCGAGCTCCACAAAGTGAAGGAGGAGATCATCGACGGTGAGTAGAGGGCCCCCACCCCCGGCATTGCCCTGAGCCGAGGTGCACCCAGCGTCCTTGAAGACGGAGGCCTGCCTGCGCCCAGGGCGGCCAAGCAGGGGTCCAGGATGGTCCAGCCAGGGAGGCCGTCCTGGGCCAGGAGGCCTGGGCCTTGTACCAGCATGGGGGCGGGGGTCAGTCTTCCTCCCAGCGGCCAGCACCACCCTCCCGCGTCTCTGAGCAAACTGAGACTCAGATTAAGCGCCTCGTGTAAGGCCGGGGATGCCCTGCTGCTCAGCCGCCTCAGTCTGAGGCTTCCCAGGATTAGCCTGTGTCGAGGAGGAAGATCCGCGAGTGCATTCCCAAGCCCAGAGCGGCCCTGAGTTATCTGCTGCTTAGCTCAGCACCTGTGGACGTAGATTACTTCTGTTTATTCTGCCACTTCTGATCACTGGGTTTGGGGTTATAAGGGCAACCGCTGCCTTCCCAGAGGTTTAGGGGTCCAGGAAGCCACAGAATTACCTATGGGCCTGACCTAGTTCACAGCCTGCTTGGCCTGGCCTGAGGGCGCGGGCCTGTGGCTCCAGCGGCAGGGCCTCGTCACGGTGAATCACATCCGTCCTTCCGGGCCCCTCCGGAGCCTTTGATGCCGCTGGCTCAGATCTGGAGCCAGAGGAAAAGGAAAGGTTCGGGCCGGGCTGGCTCCGCCCGACAGAGCAGTGAGGCACGGCCTGGTGCCCACACCCCTCCCCATCCCACCTGCTGGGTGCTGGTGGCGGAGGGCCGCCAGACATGGGAGAGAGGAGAGGCGGCTGGGAGCCTGCGTGGGGTGCCAGCAGAGCCGGACCCCTGCCCAGGGCTGGGTGACGGCCACACCCCGTCCTTGACCCAGAGAGCACTCAGTTCCTGTTTGCCCAGTCCCCCCACAGGCCTGGGATGGGCAGATAAGGAGTTAATGAATGAAGAGAGAAAGCAGAGCCAGAGAGGAGACAGAGGCCAACTATTAACCCTGCTCTGATGCTGGGCGCTCCCACCTCAGGAGGGCTGCTTGTGGGGCCCCAGGGCCAGGGCTGGTGTGGGGCCCGAAGCAGGGCTGCCAGCCAGCCAGCGAGCAGAGGGCACAGCCTCGACGGAGGGAGCCAGTGGGTGTGGGGGTGCCCGTCTCTGCACCTGTCACAGCGCGGCCATGGTGGACGCAGCCTCTGGGGCGGGCGGCTGAGAGGCTGGGGGAGATGTGGGCCATGGGGGTCTCCTGGAACCCTCCCCTCGTTCCCCTGCTGCTGGAGACGGGCCCGGCCCTTAGCTCTCTCTCCTGGCCTTCGGGTGCAGGCCCCCTGGGGTCTGTCCGGGCAGAGACTCACATCTGGGGGAGGACTCTGGGGAGAGGAGCGGGGAGAAGCCCCGGCCCGCTCCGGATGGGGCGAGCCCAGGCCCGGGAGGCAGGGCGTGGGAGCCCTCCGCCCTGCTCAAGGTCACCGACCTGATGCTGCCCCTGGGGGCGGGGTGGGGGGCTTGCCGGTCCTCCGACCAGAGCTGGGCTGCCTGCCTGCCCCTTACCAGTCCGTCCTCTGACGGGGAAGGGGCAGTGCCATCCTTGAGGGACTGCCAGCTCACGAGAAGCGGCAGATGAGCCCCACAGAGGGCTTTGCTGTCACCCCGGAGTCGGCCGGAGCCCGCTGCGCTGCCTGCCCTCTGGCCTGGGGGGCGGCTCTCGGGAGACAGAGCGGGGCAGACCCCCAGGCAGGACCTGAGCAGGCCGGGGGGCGGCGCCTGAGCCTCCTGTCCCGCCCTGTCCCCTCAGCCATCAGGCAGGAGCTGAGTGGGATCAGCACATCGTAGGTCGCTCGGCCCCCGACGCCGCCTGAGACCCGGTCCAGCCGAAGGCGGGGACAGCAAGGAGCCCAGCGCCCCGGGCCTCCAGCACACACGAGCACGCACTGAAGCTAGGATGTGCTTCGTTTAAAAGTCTTAACCTGTGATAAAATATTAAAATGAGGAAAAAAGTTCAGCTCCTGGATTTTTTTAGATTCAACCTGACACAGCACACCAGGCCTATCGCCTTTTTTTGTATTTTATATTTGCCTATTTAAGTGTACATTCCTTTCGGTTTATAGAGAAGACACCCCGAGTCAGTCGCGCCTCGCTAGGCGGTTTCAAGTTTTCTCCTAGGTGCCACCGGGAGCAGCGGCCACTTCCACGCGGCTCCTTCCCAGCGTCCTGGTGGTTGGGGTCCGTCCACGCGCCAGGCGGTCTGTGTGCACGTGGTAATAAACGCTTACCGTCCACACCCCGGCTCCGACTCGCTCGCTGTTGGCGGCTCCCGGCCGGGGAGGCCTCTTTTGGGGGAAGGGCCCATGGCAGTGGCGGCCGTGGGTGCGAGGCTGGGCTGACTCCGATGCGAGGGGGGACGGGCCGCTGAGCCGCGCAGCTCAGGCACGGCCGGCGGGGGGCCCAGGAGCCGCCCCCCCAGGGCCTTCTCCAGGGAGACGGGCTCTGAGTGGCGCCTGGAACATCAGCGGGACCGGAAGGAGGCACCAGCTTACCCTCCCCGCCGCGCAGAGGGGCGCCCCGTGACTCGGGCCCAGCAAGGCGGGCAGGGAAGGCCTCCGCCCTGCCCCACGAGTCTCCTGCAGCCCCCAGGGAGGAGCACAGGTGGCAGGAGGGGCAGCCCAGGTGCCCGCCTGAGGCACCTCCCAGCACTTCGCAGACCGCGCGAGGCCCCCGCTGGGGCCCAAGAGCGTCTGGCTGTCCGCCTTGGGGGCTGCTGCCCCTGAGCCAGGAGTGAGGCCCAGCCCGTGGGAAGGCTATCACGCAGGCACCACGGCACAGTGTGCCCAGGCGCTGGCCCAGCCGTCCTCTGGGGGCCACGGGAGGAGGGCCCCCAGTCTGGCTCGTGACAGTGGGACCGTTTTCTGGCCAGGCTCTGGACACACCGGCTCACCGAGTGCTCCCAGCGACCCTGGGACACAGGAATAGGGCTGTTCTGCCGGCTGGGAGGTGAGCGGCTTAACCCACACACAGCTCCATGAGCCGCTCTCCCGGGCTCCTTCTGCCTCCCGCCGTCCAGGAACCCTGTCGCCTCGGGGCCTCGGGGAGAGAGTCCTGGCAGGTGGCGACGGGGTGCTCCCCTCTTCCCGGGCAGCTGCCTCTCAAGAGAGTTGTGCCAGACCCCTGCCCTGGGCCCACCTTCGGCTCTGGGTGAGGCCCAGCCATGACCGTCCCGTCGGCAGATAAGCTCGCTGGCGGACACGGAGAGCTCGCGAGGCTCAGCTGGGCTCTCTGGGGCTCCCCTGGGCCCAGGCCAGCGTGTGTGCACAAGGAGGGGCCGCCTGCCCAGGCTCAGAGCCACATTGCCCTCCCACAGCCAGTCCAAGGGCCTCTTCCCCGGGCCATCGCAGTGGTCAGAACACCCGGGGACAGGGGTGCCTGGCACACGCAAGGCCACTACCAGCCCTGAGCAGGAAGTCCTTGCGTAGCAACTGCCCTGTCTCAGGCACCTGAGACCTTCCTCCCCGCCCAGCTGGGCCTTCCTCCCAGCCCTCTCTCTCCCGGGCCAGCTAAGGCAGCCCCGCCATGCCCGCCCCTGGGCCATGGTCCTCAGCCTCCCCAGCCTCACGGCTCCAAAGGGAGGCCGTCTTGGCCTGGCCGCTTCCTCTGGCAGGGAGGGCCTCGCCCAGGCATCCCTCCTGCTGCCCGCCTGCCTCTGGAAGACCAGGACCCACACCCCGACACAGCCCCCGGGCCAAGGGGCTGGCGCCAGCGATGCCTCCCCACCTCTCAGCTGGGCCATTAGCCCTCCGCACAGTCCGGACGAGCCGCATCCTGCTTCGCAGAGACACCGAGGACACCAGCCAGCTTCCGTCAGAGCCCTAGCTCACTTGGGCAGTCACCCGTCGGTCCAGCCGCCTGTGCACCCGCCATCTGCCTGGCCTGTGGTACCTGTTCTCCTCAAGCCCCACGTCTGAGCTGGTGGGGGTGAGGGCCCCAACGTGCAGCAGGAGCTCGGCAGGCGCGGGGGTGGGGGTGGGGGGCAGGGTTGTGACGGGAGCAGGGACGTGGCCCGAGGACCACGTGGATCTCATCTCTGCCCACACCCCCAAAACCGGCCACTCAATGACAGGGCCCCCGGGGAAGGCTGCCCCAGAGGGAGGAGCGTGGCCTCAGGCCCTGCTGGCCAGGAGCCGAGCCCACTCCTGGGAAGCACCCTCTGTGGACTTGGAAACATGCTGCTTTAATTTAGGGCATGGGCACGCCAGAGAAATCAGCTCCCTGGGCACAGGGCACCCAGCGCCGGGCCAGGCCTCGCGCGTGACGTCCTGAAAGGGAGGGCCCGGCCTGCGGTCACCAGTCCCCGTGCAGACCAAGCTTCTCCAGGCTGCCACCCGCGCCCGCTGTCTCCAGGCGTGGTCTCGGGACTCCAGGGGGACAAGAACAGCAGCCTAGGGTGCGGGAACTAAATGCAGCCAAACCAGTTCTGGGCACTGCACGCCCTGGGGACAGGTGACGGCCAGCCCTGCAGGTGGGCGGGGCGAGGCCGGGCAGCAGACAGAGAGCACAGGCCCTGCTCCCACCGGGCACTGAGGCGCGCGCAGCAGGGTCCGTGCTCTCGGGGCACCGGCCGTCGGGCTCACAGGCCGTCCTTCGCCAGCTTGCACACCCGCTTCACCCTGGCGTAGGGCCCCAGGGAGTCCTCGGACACAAAGTCCCAGAGCACCTTCACCCACGAGTAGTGCTGGGGCAGGTGGTCGTAGTACTCGGGCGCGATCTTCCGCACCTGCGGAGAGGGCACATGGGTCAGAGGCCGCGCACAGGCACGTGCACAGCCACAGGCGCACGTGCGCGCAGACACACGTGAGCACACAGACCACGTGAGCACACGCGCAACCCTGTCATCTCCCAGGGTACCCGTGTCCGGGCCAGCCGGGCAGGAGGCCGCCCGGTGCTGCCCATAGGCGGGGGGGCCATTGGCCGGGGGCACCAAGAGGCGCTGAGGCCCCTGCCCCAAATGGGGTGAGGAGGTAAAATGCACCCCCTCCCTGGAGCCCACGCCCCGAGTTTCTGATCCAGGAGCCTCGGGGTGGCGGAGTCCTGCTGAGCCAAGGTCACGCCCACGCGCCTCAGCCCGGCGTTCGGTGCCCTCTCGGCCCTGCAAACCCCTCTGACCTTGGCTGCCACCATACTCCCACCCCGTCGCCCTCCTGCCAGCCTCAGGACTTATTTCCCCCTCCAGCTCCCTGCCCCTCTCTGCACCTGACACCCTCAGCCCGCCTCCTCCAAGAAGTGCTCCAGCCTCAGCACCTACACGCACACCAACTGCAGGGGAGGCCTCCCCCTCCCCCCACAGAGGACACACCAGGTGCACAGGGCCTGCTTTATAACTGAAAAGGGGGGCCTAAGGGGGATGAGGTGACACGCACGGCAGGAACAGGGAGCCTTTGACTTTGCTTGGGAGAAGGAAAGGCTCACAGCTGACAGCAGCTGCTTCTGTGAGTGTCCTGGGTCAAGATTCTGGCTCTGCTGCTTCCTGAGTCAGGGACCCCTGCTCCCTGAGCCTCTCCCTTCGCGTCCATGAAATGGGCGTGATGGGCTTGAAATGCTGCGTAGGCTTGTGGTGAGGCTTCAGTGAGATGGTGCCCAGCACAGAGCAGGACCTCAGTACCATTGGCGGGGCGGGGCGGGGCGGGCGCCTGCACAGCCAGGGTGGACACACAGGCTGTCAGACTCCAGAGTCACGTGGGCCACGGCACAAACACCTGCACACCCAGACCAGCGCTCACGTGCACTCCAGCACACCAGTGGGTGAACATGCACTCACAGACATGCACATATGGACAGGCACACCTAATCACGTGTAGGAATGCGGGCACACAGACGTACACACAGCCTCGCACACTCAGACACCCTTCCCACGACCACAATCTCCAACCCCCTGTGCGCGGTCACTTCTGCTCTAACCGACCAGTGCCAGACCAGAACAACAACTCCTCCCCCTCCCCCCTCCTCCTCCCCCTCCCCCTTTCTTCTTTAGAAATTCTCCAACCCAGATCTCCCAAGACAGAGGTGCCAGCCCAGAGGCTTCCACTCCGAGGCAGCTCGGGCCAAGCCCCTTGGGTCACAAAGGGCAAGGCCCACCCTGTCCTCTCTGTGCCGTGAGGGGGCCCCTGGAGGGTCACAGGGCAGTGACAAGAAATGCGGAGGGACAGGGTCAGGAAGGCGAGGCGCTTCACTTGCAGTATCGTTACTGCTGCACCATTTACAGGAGAGAAAGCTGAGGCACAGAGAGGGCAAGCGGCTTGCCCCAGGACACACAGCCAGCCAGTGAATATCACAGCTGTGCTCAAACAGGTTTTCATTAAACCAAGAGGCCTGAACTGTAAAATGCCCCTTGAGCCCCTGCCCCGCCCCCCCGAATTCACCTTCCTATTCTCCAGCCAGGCACTCCGTGTGCCAGGTGGCCTTTCCTTCTCCCCTGGGGACCCCAAGTGAGCACGTAGCCATCCCGTGATCAGCACGAGAGAAAGGCCGGAGTGTGGCCCAGAGCCCTCCCCGCGTTCCCCCACCTCCCACTAAGGTGCCACTGCAGCCCCGCGACCATGGCCACGTACCAGGGGCAGGTTGCAGCCCGGGATGCTGGGGAAGTCGTGGTGTTCCATGTGGTAGCCCACGTTGAAGGTGATCCAGTTGAGGGGCCCATAGTAGGAGTAGGTCTCGTGGCCCTTGAGGAACATGTAGTGCTCAGCCACGAAGTGGCCCGAGATGGGGTGCAGGCCCAGGCCCAGCAGGGAGCTGGCCAGCAGGTAGACCATGGGCTTGGGCCCCCAGAGGGTGAAGATGGTGGCGTTGGCCGCCAGCTGCGCCAGGGCGTTGAACACCTCCATGCGGGTCATGGCCTTGGGGTGCACGCAGAGCGGCCGCAGCGAGTAGAAGAAGGGCTGCAGCGCCAGCCAGAGCAGCTTGCGGGCCGGCGTGCAGAAGAGCCAGCCCTCGAGGCGCGTGGGCACGTCCACGTCCAGCCCGTCGCCGCCCAGGTAGCGGTGGTGATCCACGTGGTACTTCTTGAAGGAGGAGGCGTAGGGCACACCCAAGGGCAGGTTGGCGAAGACGGCGAACCAGCGGTTGTGGGCGGGGTGGCCAGTGCCGAAGGCCGTGTTGTGCGAGATGTCGTGGATGGCCAGCGTCAGCGCGTGGTTCACGCAGCCCCCGAAGGCGTAGGCCCAGAAGAGCAGCCAGCGCCACGCCAGGCCCCGCACCAGCCAGCAGGCCAGCAGCTGCGCCAGCACCAGCCCCAGCACCAGCCACTTGAGGTGAGGGTCCGGCCGCATCAGGGCCTTGATGGCCGGGTACTTGGCTGCAGGGAGGACGGGAGAGAAGGTGAGGGGGTGCTGGCCGCGTGGGTCCAGATGCGTGCTTCCCCTCCCCCCTCCTTCAATCTTTCCTGCCATCTTCCCCGTCTTTCCCTCCACCATCCATCAAGCCCCCAGGCAGTGCTCTGAGATCCGGCACTGCGGCTCTGGGCCTAGAAGCAGCCTCGCCTGTGCTCGTGCCGAGGGAGGCAGGCAGACCTGTCTCCCCCCACCACCCAGGGGGCTCTGGGGAGACTCCCCAGGGTGGGGGTCTTTGTCACCAGCCTACACAAAGAGCAGGCGTCAGCATGGGCCACAGAAACGTAATTCCCGCCATCAAAACAGATGCC